TAGTTCTACAGGTAAATATTTAGTTGCTAATCATAAAAATTGCTCAATATCTTTATTTGATAAACAGATTAGATATTTGGGTACAAAATCTCTCTTTATTGGTAAATATACAGATTTTTGTTATATAGAGAGCTATATAATTATAAATGATGAAAAATCAATAGTATTTTATCAAGTTGATAAAATTGCAATAAAAAATTATTTGAATAATTCTATATTTAAAATATAAATCGATAGTATTGTTTGTTTTGAATCAATAAATCGTTCAGACAAAACTATCTACATTTGTGTACATAAATACTAATAAATACTTTATACTTACGAATTAGAATATGATGAATTAATTTAGATATCTGAAATTACAATTATAAACTATTAAATTTATAGACCATTAGATTATTAAATATATTAAAATTCTATTGTTATTGTATCTACTTAAAATGATTAATTATTTTTGTTATATTTCATATTATAAGATAATCTAATGCTAGAACTAAATAGAATAATAAAAATTTTTAATTTAAATTACAATCTAGATCATAATTTATTATCATACTCTACTGAAAAGAATATAGAACATTTACCATTTTTATTGTATAAATTTCACATAAATGAATAAATCTCCAACTAATCGGAATCAATAAATTTGACATTTTTGGTTGACTTTGTTGAAAATTTTACTTAAATATTACATAATTTTACTTTGGAACTAAAAATTAATTAAATAATGGAGTATCCTGAATTGATTGACAATCATCCAAAAAAATTTGTTCCTCCTTTCAATAAATTATTAAACTTTAATGTAAACGAATTTATTTATGGTCCTATAGAAAATATATAATTATTAAATTAATAATATGTAGTCTTAATATAGCCTCACATTGTTTAATATTAATAAAAGGTTTGCTAATTAACAATCTGTATATATAATGATGATTTTAAATATCTTTTAATTTACGATAAATTAACATAAACTTTATTTAATACAAGTCTGTAAGTGGAAGCTTAAAAAATCTTAATAGCCTACTTAAATATATAAAATATTTTGATATTTGTATTAGAACAAGATGGTCTATTATAACTATATTATGATAATTAAAAATAAAATGAATATGAGATAAATGAAAAAATTAATAGTGTTGTTTTGTAGGATTAATTATTACTTATTAAATCAAGTAGTTTTAAAGCAATTGTAAGACATGACAATTATTAATTTATTATAGAGAAATATGAATGTGATGATTTAGATCTTGGTTTAATACGTTTATTTGAATAGAATAACTACTTAATTGTTATTAAAAGAAACGATAGTACACTATAATTAAACAGTACTGTTATAAGACATAGCAATTAGTTAATTATTTCAACTAAATTATATTAATTAAATAGTGATACTAATAATACTTGTGTTAGTGATATATTATCAATTAAAAATATAAATATATTAGAAGTATAATATAAAGAAACTGAATAGACATATTCTATAAGAGTGATACTCTTTTAATAGCATTTTTGTCACATTTGTATGTTCTAATTCTCTTAATAGAATTTTATTCAATCATAATTAAATGGTGGTTTTATGTATCCATTAGAGGAGCAATTTTCATTTATTGTTTTTAAAGACATAAATTATTTGATAGTGCAATTCATTAATGGATCTTGGCTCTATTAAATAAGTGACAATTATAGGTAGAATTACTATCCAGTGTTTTAATTTAATTAATCTTTCACTAATTTTAATTAATATGGTTTAATGAATACTTATATCAACTCATTTAATCTTTTTGGAGAATATCAATTAGAATTTGATGAAAATAATCATAATATAACTTTGGAATTTTTAGCATTGTATAAGGAATAAAAGATATATTTTAACGTCACTATTGAATATATTGAAACATAAAATAGCAATATATAATTTAATCTTATTCTTTTTTTTATTATTCTTACTTTAGCTCTTATGTTTCTTTTATATTATTATTGTTAGAAAAAGTGTTAAAATTTAAATTTAAAACAAAAAAACTTAAACCTTGAACTTAAATAGGCATAGGTTGAAATGAGTTAGAATTTAGAATAAGAAAGCAGATTAAATCAAGAATAATGATTATTATAATATGATTTAAATAAAAAACTACTAATTTTTCTTGCACAATTAAATATATATTTATAAGAGTAAATTTAATTATCAAATTGGAAATTTCGCAATATTTTAAAGAATATTATCTTAATTACATTAATTAATACAAAATATAATAGCAGTTAAATATGTGTCTTATAATATTTTATTAATATTAAACTTTGATTATAAACCTAAGAGTTTAATTTCCTAATTTTTGTAAAAATAGTGATTAAAGTAATTAAAAATATTATTTTATACAATTATGGCAATAATTTAGATTATATAAGTGATAGAATTATTTATTACTAAATACTAATAATTTAATATTATTGATAAAATTCATATATTAAGTGATTTTTTTGCTACTTTTGATTGATTTCTCTTGACAGAAAAAGTTTTTAAGAACATAAAGCTATTCTCTCTGATTATAATTATTTAAACTTATTACCTAAAAAAGAAATTATTATATAATTCTAGGCCCGATAAGTTTGAAATAAAATTCTTATTCAAGAAATAATGTAGATTATGAATATATATAAAAATTCTTAAGTATAATCATATCATAATTTCATTATTAAACTTATTCAAAGGATTAAAAATTATTACACCACATTAAAGTGATTTTAATTACTGTTTTATTTATTAATCTAATTAAAATTATTAATCAAATAATCAAGAATAAACACTCTACCAAAATAATAAACTGAAATTTTAATAAAACTATTCAAATTTAAATTAGTAATTCTCCACAAGCATTGTTTGTTTAAAAATTTCATCAGGATTATTCTTTTAAATTAAGAGATTACATGATTTCTTTAGTAAATTAACTTTAAATTTAAGGTTGATTATGCAATTCTTATTTTAGTAAATATGAAAATTAATATAGAGAATTATATTCAAATATTTAATGATTATAATCTAAATAATAATATTTCATTTAATCTATTATAGAATCCATGTAATTCCATCCTCTAGTCCTTCCCTTGTAATAGCACAGCATGGTTAAATAAGAAAATTATTTGAAAATTTTTCGAACATCAGTTCAGAGTTTAATTAGTTAAGATTAATTTAAACAAGATCTATCTTATTTACATAAATTAAAAGTGGCAATCTATTCAATTTATTATCAATTAAGTATTTTTCCAACCATTCTTTAATCTCTATCAATCTTTCTTAATTAGTCAAATCCAAAACTAAAATTAAAGCTTAGCTCTTTTCATAAAAGTGTCTCCAAAGCAATCTTAGTCCACTTGGTCCTTCTATATTCCAAGTAATTATATCAAAAGATTTGGTTAATAATTTTTTTTGTTGATATCCGATACCTGTAAAAAAGTTTTCTACCTTTCCTAATTTCAATTAATTTAAAATTGTAGTCTTTCCTACAGCATCCAATCCAATTAATAATATTTAAGGTGTTTTTTTATAGATAAATTTTGAAAAAGGGTTTCCCATTAAATTAATTTAAAAAATGTGCAAATTCATTTTTTATTTATAATAAATCCTGCTGTTTCCTACAAGGAATTAATATAATTATTAAAATTCTTATAATTATAATTCATTAAAATTTTATAATATTCTAAATATATTATAAGAGTGATAAATTAGAAATATTAATCTAATTCAAATAATCGACCATTTCAAACAATAATAACAAAAAAATGGAAATTAATCGTATAATTTAATTAAACCTTAAAATTATAATTCAATTAATCAATCTATAAATCTAAAAATCACCACAATCATATTTTAAAAATGAAATAAAATAATGATTATCTATTGAATTTAATATATTTAAAGAAGTCTTAAAGCTATTAATATTTAAAAGAATATTGGTTCAAAATAAATAGCAATAATAACCAAAAGAAATATTGATTAAATCTTTTTAATGTATGTTTATTTTTTCTATTTTGATACTCTGATTAAATCATTCTTAACAGAATTGAATTTATAATAACAATAGAAAGCATAATTTCTAATTTAGAAATATATCACAATAGAGGACGCAATTTAACACTTAATTATCAAACGATTTCAAATAATTTAATTTTTTTAATTTAACTTATAACAAGATATTGTTTATTTTATAATAAAAGCACAAGTTTCTCCTATTGAAAGTTTGAAATATATTCCAAATATAGTCTTGTTATAATTTATTTATTTGAGACTGCAATTAATTTAATTTTTATCTCTTAATATTTATTTTAAGTAATTGCTCTATTATTTTAGATATTCTATTATGAATACAGATTAAACTCTATTAAAAACAATGGATGCATGACTTAAACTAAAAAATAGGAGATAATTGAAAATTAGATATCAACCCAACTAGGATTTCTAAACAGTCTTTTATATCAAAAACAAATAATTTATTTTAAAGGGAAGTNGACTTGAGTAATTTTTAATGTTCATTTTATTATGAATATAAGATTATAATAATAATAATTATTATTATTAGATTATAATTCAATGTAATAAAAACTTAGATTCTTTTCTTTTACACTTTCTAATCTAAGGAACTGAATTTTAAAAGTTTTGTATAATAGATATGGGAAAGAATTATCCTCTAATATAACTCTATTTTGAAGTATTAATTGTGAAGGCGTAAATAAATTCGATATAAATTAATTCTGATTTTGCTTTATTAGGGAAACTTAATTAATACTTATGTGTCTCATTGTATATGCAAAATATTATGTGTAAAATAAATAAATAATAGTAAATTAAATATTTTTATTAAAGTTAACAAATACTTGTTTTTTCAGCTTTAAATAAGTGAGATCCGTAAATTGATCATATATTAAACTAATTAAATTCCTCCTCTAATAACTCTATAGATTTTCAATTAGAATTAATTAATTTATTAATCTTAATTTATTTAATTATGTTTTAACCAAAAATGATAGAATTAGAAGAATAACTTATTTGTAGCAAAAACCATAAAAGTCCTATTCAAATGGTTTTATTAGATAAAAACTTAAAGAGAGAAGAACGTCTTTTATGTGCAATTTGTTTGGAAAATTTTGAAGGTGAAGCTAAAATAATTGGAATTAAAAAAGTACTTTAAAAGATTTAAGACAACTAACAGAAGAAAGTGGAAAACATCTAAAAATTGATTAATATTGATGTAGATTTAGTAGAATCATTTGTGAGTGAACTAAAATAATTAAAGTCAAAAATTATATAATAATTTGATGAATTAATATCTTATTCTTCAGAGTGGATCTAAAGTCTTAATAATATTGGATAATATAATTCGTAATATAGTTTCTATGAGGAATTAGAAATTGTTATAAAGAATAATTAAATGCAAAACTTATTTAATGAATAATCAATCATTGCCTAAATAACAAAACTTAACAATTAGCTTTATGACAAAATCAATATGAAACTATCCGCTCTCAGGGACTAAGTATTATATTCATAATGTGACAAAGCTTTAATCAATTTAAATTAACACCATAATATGAAATTAATAGATAATTCAATTATCAAAGCTGAAACCTGCTATGCAATTTCTTTTAATTAATCTGGGTCTCTCATGATCTCGGCCTCTAATTATGACATTATAGTATGGAAATTTGAGAAAGGAAAAATGAATGAAATTACCAAAATTAGTGGACATACTTAAACTATATCTTGCTTGTAATTTAGTTAAAAAAGCAATAGTTTCGTATCTGCCGGTTTTGATAATTCGATTCGTTGTTGGAATTAAATTAATTAAAAAGAATGGAAGAGTTCCTAATCCTATACTTAACATACAAATTGTATAAATTGCTTAATCTTAAATCAATCTGAAAACTAACTTATTTCTGGTGGAAGAGATAAATCAATTAAAATTTGGAAAATTGATTTTACTAATAATTAATTAACTTATCTTTATTATTTAGATAAACATACAAATAATGTTTATAGTTTGTGTTTTAATCAATCTGAAGATACTTTGGTTTCTTGTGGTGATGAATCAATAATAATTTGGAAGATGGACAATTTAAAAAAATGGTAATTTGGATAAGTAGTTACAAAATCAATTAATGAATTTGGATATAGATTATGCTTTATAAATAATGACTAATTTATTTAGATTGCAGGAAATTAAATAAGTAAGGATTGTATCAGTACTTTTGAACTAAAAAATGAAAAATATCAAGAAAATTTATCAAAAGAATTAAAATTAATTAAAAATGATTAAACATCTGATCTCAATTTATTTCCAATCTTTCATGTCAGATAAAATAATTTAATGATTGTTAAACACAAATATTATGTTTACTTGATCAAAATATCAAATGAAGGCTAACTCAAAATAATCACATATATAAAATTTGAATCCAATTATATTTTTGGAGCATTATCTTATGATGGAAGATATTTGGTAATTTGGGAGAAAGTTGAACAGAAATTTCATATATATGAATTAAATAATAATTGAATTCTATATAATAAATAATAAGTATTTTTGAGAGTTTATAGTCATTCTTATTAAAAGTATACATAATCAAAATTTAGACTTTAAAATATACGGTTATCTGAATAATTCTTTAAATGCTGATATATGTAAAAAAATAAATTATTAAAATGCAATTATATTAATT